GTTTTACTTACCAATTCTGTTTTCTCACTGGCTGCATGCAGGTGTGAAGTAAGCTGGTGAAAGTTAGCCAGTCGATCCTAAAAGGTAGAATTCAGCTTCTTAGAATCATCACCAACAAAGAACGTTTAAGTATCACAGTCGTAGTCAACGGAAAACATTTTCAAAGAATTGATGTACGTATGCAGTAGATTTACTAATGCAAAATGTATCTGAATTTCATTCACTTACAAATTTCTACAACCCGTGCAATTAATAGCAAAATAGAAAAGCAGCGCCTCTCAGAGCCACACAGATTATGGTGATACTGTAAGCTTTTTTGCTAACACTGTAGCAGAAATGTATCCACTAAGAATTATAAGTGTCTGCCTGCATGAAGAGGCTCTATTTACTCTTTGCCTTATAGAACACCTACAGTCCACATAGAAAACTGTACTTAAACTCTAGCTCTGTCTTGCTAGGGAAACCTGAATAACACAAAATAGTCATCAGCAACATACTAAGCATCTTCAAAGGACAGCCAAGAGTTAAGTCCCTCGGCTGGAATTTATATTAATTGTGTTCAGTTTATACCACAGTTTCATGGTCAAATGCATGCAAGCAACCTAACCCAGCAACTAACTTCACTGTAGAGATTGGACAGCATAAATAAGGATCTCACAGCTCATCTCTGCTTTCCGTAGATTGTGATTCTACTCAGCCTACCTCTGATTGCTATTTCCTGCTCCTCTGTTAAAAGCAAAATGTAAAACACGGCTGATTCGGCTGAAAAGTCTTATGGCAGACACAAAGTGCTTTTAAGAATAAAAGGCTGCTCAATCTCATTCTTGAGAAAATGGCATTAAAATCCACTAAGAATTTGGTCATCAAAAGTAGACTCTTACAGCCCCTTCAATCTCCAACAGCATTCTGTTATAAATTTAAAATTTGCATATCTGTTTCTGAAAGAAAATTTCCTGAAGTGTAACCAGTTAACCTAGCAAGCTAGGACACTAACAAATAGCTTAAAGGCTTCCCAAGGAGCAGCTGAAGAAACGCAATGCTAAACATTGGAGATTAGCAACCTTCATTTTTCAGCTGTTTATTCAGCTTCTCTATTGAATGACAACAGGTAAGTGAAACTACTTATATTTGAATTGAACAACAGCAGGATGATTATTTATATTTGTCTATCTCGTGTACTTCTCTACATGCACCAAAACGCACACGGTGCACTCCCTAAGTTACTGCCCACATATCTGAAACCAACTTTCCAACCCCATCTGTCCTGTTGACTGTTGAATCGCTGGCTACATCTGACCACTCCACTTTTGATAACAACTATTACAGAAAACAATCAACAACAGGACCAGGGGAGAGCCACAAAGATGATCAGAGAGCTGGAGAACCTCTCCTACGAAGATGGGCTGAAGGAGCTGGGCTTGTTCAGACTGGAGCAGAGAAGGCTGCGGGGAGACATCATTATGGCCCTTCCAGTATCTAAAGTGAGCTTATAAACATGAGGGAAATCAACTTTTTACGTGGGTAAATAAGTGATAGGAAAAGGGGAAATGGATTTAAACTCAAGGAGGGAAGATTTAGACGAGAATGTCGGGGGGAAGTTTTTCACTGAGAGAGTGATGAAGTGCTGGAACAGGCTGCCCCGAGAGGCTGTGGACGCCCTGTCCCTGGAGCAGTTCAAGGCCCCATTGGATGAGCCCTAGGCAGCCCAGCCTAGTACTTGATCTAGTGGTTGGCAGCCCTGCCTGTGGCAGAGGGATGGAACGTCATGATCCTTGAGGTCCATTCCAACCCAATCCATCCTATGGCTTTATGATGACTCTATGATACTGGTACAAACTGCACTTCGGTTTGGCTGCACACAGACGCAGAATCTCTGCAGTGTATGAAGGCATTCCAAAACTAACAAAAATGTCCATGAAAGTTACTTGCTGTTTCAGTCTTTCAGCCATGTGAATCTGTGTTTGAGTCATGTGTTCCTGGTGCTGCTGCTGGAGTTGATCAAGCTCCTGTGATACAGTCTGCCAGAGCTCTATTGCTTGTTCTTTTTCCTAGAAAGAATAAAGGTCTCTAAAATATTTACAGTACACTTCTATTGAAATGCTTTTTTTTAATTATTATTGTTCTCTGCACACATTACAACCACACAGAAAAACAAACTCAGAGGCAAAAAAACCCAGATGTTTACAAGATCACATTCCATCTAGACTGGAGCTGCAAGTTCTGCACTATTCTAATAGCTCCTACCAAAAGTAAAACTCCACTCACATTCTGAAACTGTCAAAGACTTGCAATTCTTTACTTTAGGACTACAGTATATATAATACTCAAATACCAAAAATCAGGAGTCAATTTAACCTCAGCTTAGTCCACTGCAAAAGAACTGAATCATCTCTGTAATATATTCAGGCCATTTTGCTGATCTATTCAGATCTAACTGTTACTGTCTGTATTCCACATACAGTTGCCGCTCATTTCACATTACACTTTAATTAAAAATAAAAAAAAGTCACCCTACCACAATAACTTCAATCCAACAAAATATTTGATTCATCTTCTGGACAGAAATTCAACAAAGTAAAGTTAGAGGCACAAATGAACACAAAAAAATTCTGCTTGTATGGAACTAGAAAGGAACTTCCTTCAGGTTTTGAAGTTGAAAATGTAAGTATGGGTGCATTTGAGTTTTTTTTTTTTTTTTTTTTTTTAAGCTATGTGCAATCAGGAAGGCCTCAAAATACTGTCAAGGAACTGTTATAAACAAATACTGAACCAAGAAACAAACTATCCTTCCCTAATCTGTCAAGGCACAGAAGAAACAGAAGAGTACAAGTGTTTCATCTCACACACCTGATTAGTCAGTTGGAGCTGTTCCTGAAGGTTTCTCACTATTTCTTCATCTGCAGGAATAGCAGTTCCCAGGGGCATAAAAGGAAGAGCATCCAGCTGCATCTCAAGAGCCTCTTTCAACTCTGCATGCAGCCTGAAATTCAAAAGACCAAGTTCAGTGCAATATTTATCTAATACACTCTCTCTAAATGAACTGAAGTACTGTACCTTTGATTAGTATGTCCCATATACACCTAGCTCACTTTTGAATCCATTGAGCAAGATATGTTCTATAAAAAGGGTATAAATTAATACCGAGTTCTTTTGCAGAGATATGGCTAAGCCTGCTAAATTTGGTGCTGTAATCTATATTAGACAGAGTAACATTAAGCATGTGAGTATGAAATCTTCAACTATTAAGCAGATTCAAATATTTCCAAGCCTTAGGAAAAAGAGTTCCAGGCTTAAAAGACAGAAAAGAAAACACCAAACCACACAAGAAAATAGCAGCAGTAGGTAAAGTGCTCTTCTTTACCTCCTGTTCTCCGTGGCGACCTGTTCAAACTTCTGTCTCATCTCACTCATCTGCACCTAATAAAAAAACATCTAAGAGGCAAACTGTGGCACTTTATTTTTTCAATAAACAATACTGAAAACACTGACAGTGTCAATTCAGCACAATACCATCGATGACATTAAGACTTCACTTTGCAAAAGAGTCACAGGAAGCCAGAAACGTACCTGATAAATCTGCAGCTGCTCCCTCATTTCTTCCAAGCACTTTTCATACTCTACGCTTTTTGTTATCAAGCTGAAACATG